GTGGGTACTCAAATAAAAGCTCTTGATGATTGTAACATCGAGATGAGCTTATATCTTTAAAAATATCAATAATTAAAAAATGACCTTGTATCTTATAAACTACTGACATTTTTAAGGATATAAGCTCACCCCTACATTAAACTCATCGAGACTTTTCATTTGAGTACCCACATCAAGTTTTCATATATTTTATATATTTATATATATTATATATATGTATATATGAAAAATATATCAAAAACGCATGTGGGTACTCAAATGAAAGCTCTTTATGAGTGTAACATCAGGATGAGCTTATATTTTTAAAAATGTCAATATTTAAGAAAGTACAGTGCAATTTAACAAAAGTCATTATTTAATAAAGTAAAATTTCATTCATTTTTAGTTCACAAGTCATGGCAGTCACCTAGTGACTGCAAGGTTGCTAATTAATAATTAATAATATAATTTTTTTACCTTTAACTTGCTGAATATGAGCCATATTGTCATAAACAGAGGCCGGAGTGACAACGTCCGGTACATTGGCACCGACATTTACTTTAATCACTTGCCCAACTGGCGGCGGTGGAGGTGGATGATTGGGTGGTGGTAAACCATTTCTACTCAGTGCGTTAACGTCCTCTTGACTACGATGACCTTTTGGCGCCAAAGCTGACGATTGTCCTTGAATGTTCAGGTCAGGCGTACTGTGGAAGTCTCGATGCAAATCTGAACCACCGCCCAGACCACCGAAGAAACGTACCCGTGAATTTGACTGTAAATTATTCAGTTTATTAATATTTATTGATAACATTAACATAATTACATTAATATTAGATAATTTAATTTATTGATAATGCGTGCTAGTACAATGATACTGCAATATTATATTTATTAAAATTCATGAAAATAAGCGTTTGTGTTAAAATAACGAATAAATTATTTGTTTTTATTAGTAATTAATAATTAGTTTTTGCGAATGAGAAAAATTGTTACTAGATATCAAGAATTAATTTATACATAAATTGATTAAAATTAATAGTTCATTTTTTGGTAATAAGCGTGAAAAATAAGCAAGAGTGGTTATTTATTTATAAGAAACGTTAATACGTTTCTTCGAATGTTCAGTTACTAATCACCTGAATAAACTCATGCTAACATGTTTTTGGGTGTAAATAATATTTAGAATTAATGATCAGTAATACAAGTAGTCCTTATTATCCTCTTGATTGTTTATCAGTTGTAATTTGTTGCATAATCTTGATATTCGCGTACACTATAACAAACATGCATGCATACACCATTACCCATAAATACATGCTCTATTAACATGAATATGATACATCAGTTTTTAATTCTGGAAAATATTTATTTACTGATGCGTAATTAATTTATTAAAATTTTTAAAAAACACTAATATTTATTAAAGATATTTGGCAACACCAACACGAATTTATGGCGCCAAAATTTTTTTAATAATATATTTAATGGGTATTAATAACTGTTTTAGCTCTACAATCTTCAAATCCCTTTTTTTTTTAAGTTAAGTTAATAATGAATAAAAATGCTTAACTATCACAAGTACAAATAAAATAAAATAACTACTAAACAAATCAAAAGAAAAATTAGAATTTTATGTCTTGTAATAAATAAACAATTTGAAAAGTTAATAAAAAATAAATAAAACACCAACACCAGTTAAAAAAAAACCAAAGTAGTTGAGTTATTTAAAAAAAAAAAAGAACCCTCTGAGAATCTTACTTTTCCCTTGCGTTTCATTTCCGCGACGCTCGCGTAGACTCTGCCAGTTTTCGCAGGAGATGATGGATGTGACTTGGTAGCAGGTCCAGCCTGAAAGTGAGAACTCATCATGGTCTGGCCATATTGGCCACATTCACTTCCCTGTCGTTGAAACAGTTCCTGTAATCGAAGCAATGCAGATGCTCGAGTCTCGAATAAATCGTGCTATTGCAATTAACATTCGTGAACATTGCGTATAGATAAAAGCGCATATCACGTGTATTCGTGCTTTATATTGATTTTTTTGCTTTGGTATCATATTCATATTCATCATGTAACGAAATAATTAATAAAAATAATAATACCTGAAGTTCTGCGGCGGTTATACGGCTTGAAGTAGGCCGAGAACGAATACTAGCGGTACGTGGTTGAACAGGTGTATTTTGTCCAGTGTTGGGGCCAGTCGATGATTGTTGGGCCAAATGAATTGACTCGGCGCTACTAGATTTACCTCCTGTTGATCCAATCTCATCTCGGTCGTCCTTTTCTCCACCACCTTCTATTGTAAAATTAACATTAGTCTATGAATTACCACCGAGCTTATCAGATTATTTTATCAGCTAGTAAAATATAAAATACCTAAGCCAGCAACCATTGATCGAGCTCGTGCACGACCAACACTCAGTGTAGTTTTGGGATCTCTTCGAGGTGGCATCGGTGCCGGTGATCTTCCCAATGTCCCACTTATGGGTACATTATTGCTACCCTTACGGGGTAATGTCGCGTATTGCCTTTGAGTTGGTTGACTAGTCGGCAGTGTAGCAGTTGATTGTGAGTTTGGAAGATTTACTGGTGATACTACAGTCATTCGTACTAATTCACCGGATCTTCTTATTAGATCTACTACGTGTTCATGAGAAGCAGTCGATACATCTTCTCCATTGATCTGAAAATAAAAATATAAAAACTAGACTGTCGGAATAATAATATAAACATAAATTTTATTGCAAATTCAACTATTTCAGTGATGTTATTTACAATTACAAGTTGTTCATTTATGCAAAACGTGTTTTTGCATCCGTTACAAATACTTTTACAACGACGGAAAATTATGATTTTATATAGACACACTTAGAGACACGGACAAGTTTTCCGGTCACGGAAACTATTTTGTGTAGTGACGGAACATTTAATTGCATCCACTGATGATTCTTTTTTTTTTTTTAGTTATAAAATTTATTTTCTTCAAGTTATCACAATTTCAATATTTATAATTTCAATTTTCGAAAGTTTGATATAAGTTCATTGTTTCGAATAAATTTGAATCCAAATTAAGGGAGTTTCTGGTCTAGAACTATAAATTTGAAGTCATTTTTTAAGTGCCGTAAAAAAAGGGAATCAATATTTTTATGATCGATTTTTTATATGATATTTTTTAATATTTCAGGAATACAGAAAAAAATTGAAAGTTCAAAAAGTTATCAGTTGATGAAGCGGGAGGCCTCAAAAAATTGACACGCGACCATATCCACGATTCCAACTCCTAGCAATTGAAAAAAAAAAAAGTCAAAAAGATTATTATCTGAAGTATTATTATTATTATTATTATCTCTACCCCCATGTAAGTATACGTAAGATTTTTTGAACCCCCCCCCCTTCTCCTTTCTTACGTAAGATTCTATCTTGATCTTCTAAATAATAAACTGTTATGTTAGAAAAGGATTAGTTTCACTAAAACTAACAGGTCAATGTGGATCCATCATTTTCATTTTTTAACAAGTAATAATGTTTTTTAACAAAAAATGTTTTTTATTTTTTAAATAGTAAAAGTACGATAATACACGGAAAAATACTATAATTTTTTCTATAGAACCAAACATGGATAACAATAAAAACATATGAAATTTTAATAAGTTATTTTTTTTTTTCAATAAGCAATAAAAATTATTTAAATAAAATAAAATTTTGACTGTACACTTTAAAATTAAGAAAATTATTTGGAATCCAAAATGAAATTAGATTTTAAATATTGAATTTTGATTCACGAAATATTACGTAAGAATTAATTTTATCCCCCTCTCCCCCAACATAAGGACATGTAGATCTTTTCTTAACCCCCCTCCCCCTCAATACCCTTACGTAATTAATGAATGGCCCCGAAGTGGAAAAAAAAAAATTTTTTTTCACTAAATGGCGATTGCCTGAAAAAAAAATTAATTTTTGTACCACTTTTTTTGAATTTTCCGAATTTTTTAAAAATAGTAAATTTTAAAATTCGGGAATAGAACTTGAAAAATCGTGGGTATCGTTTTAAAATTAGATGCCGCGTCAGAAAAATAGCTATATCTCTTAATAAAATGATTCGAATTTTCTAGAATCATTCTAAGGATATATTTTTAAAGGGTTAAGCTTTGAAAATATGAAAAAAATCGATTTTTTTTAATTTCTAGACCAGAACACCCCTTTAAACAGTAGAAAAAATTTTTGTTTTATTACCTGAATAAGAAAGTCTCCTTTTCTAAGTCCAGCCAAATCGGCAACTCCACCCGGACTAACATCATCAAGGTATTGGGCTGCTGGAGCTAAACCAACTAAAGTTGACGGTGTTGTTTTAGCTCCGCGAAGGATAAAACCAAAACCTTTTTTCGACCGATGAAGTATAACTGATCTTGGCTCTGAAGTAGCACTAAACATACATATCCTATAATTAAATTAATAATATATAATTGTAGCGTAAAAAATAAAAGATAGACATATGATATAATAAATAATTATTTCTTACGGCTTCTTCAACCTCGGAGCAGTCGCGAAATATTTCTGCTGTGCTTCCCTACGTCCAATAACACGATTACGACCTTCTCTCATATGTTGAGGTCCTAAAGGTATATTGGTGTGCCGAAGCCTGACTTCTTGAACACAATGGGCGGGAAATAGTCCAGTGCCTTGACCTCGGAGTACGCCTTCCAGTAGACCACAATCTGTCGCTCCAGTGACTGGTGTAACAAACAATAATGAACATATACACACTATATATTATATATTATATAATCTCTATTTAATAATAAATTTCATAACATAGCTACCGAGTAATACAGTTATGAATAATTTTATACGTATTAAATTACAAATTCATAATCTATTACCGCATGAAAGTGTATAAGAATGGAATGAATAATAAAATAATTTATGATGAAAATAAAAAATTGAACTGAAAAAAAAAACTTGTGCCATGTTCATTATTGAGCAACGACTTTGGCTATTCAAGTTTTCCTTTGGCCAGATACAAGAATCCAAAGTTGTTTCATTTGGAAGTAGGTTTTTGCTTGATGGTAAATCGATTCTACCTTCGAGAATGTCGCCCTGGTTGATAGTCAGGTGTCCGGCGATACCGCTGTTATAACTCTCGACGCAGACCACCGTCGTACCGGGAATAGAGAGCGAGTTCGTTGTGTCGGACTGCGATGTACCAACACCCGAGCTGTCACTAATGATGTCCGATGCTGTGTCCCCGAGACTTTTGTCTATATTAAAATAAAATTAATAAACAAACAAAATTTAATACATATTAATGGATTTATTTTAATTAAATTATAAAAAAAAAAAAAAAGAATAAAAATGACAATCCATTATTTATTTTATTTAGCGAAACTCTAAGCTGCTTTTTGCATTAGAATGGATAAAAATGAGGGCTAGTCCCTGATTTATTAATCTAATAAAATGTAAAACTCGCGGGAACTGGTTGATTTTGCATTAACATTGCATAACTACATGCTTGCACAGCAGCTGTGTTTGTTTTATTTTATTGTTTTTAATAATTTATCTGTGAGGAGTATAGCGTTAAATTAGTAAACAGAATTTATATAAATTTAACATCTAAATTTACTAAGACAATGATGAATGAAAGGTGATAAAAAAATGAAGGACAAATGATGATATGAATTAATGAATTATGATAAAGTGAAACATTTAACAAATTAACGTCACATTATTTCATTGAGAGATCAATTATCTATATCTTCCAACAATAAATATATTATACACATTATGACATTATGAATAATTAATTATAATTTATTTATTTAATTAGCTATAATATCGTTATCATCATGACGATTTACCTGGTGCCTTATTCACTCTCGTTTGGTGGTGATGGTTTTACACACTCGAGAGATAAATTTAAACAAACACCAGAGTAGTATCTTGACAGTAAAAAGCGATTGAGGTTTCATCATAAATATTTGTTTGTTTTTTTTTTTTTTTTTTTTTTTCCCGTGTAAATGTATGTTGTTTTGAAATTAAAAAAAAAAAACTGAATAAAGAATTGTGTACCTGTTACAATGCTGGCCGAATCTTCACCGGAAGGTTGATTGCTGCCCTCAGATAGGCTGGAACTTGCTGAACTGAAAGGTGCGAAACTTCGGCTACTTGGTGAGGGTGACGGTGGCATCTCCATCATGCGTCCTTGAATGTCTAGCCGGTGTTGTAACCCAAATCGGTGATGGTGATGCTCATGTAGTCTCGTAAGGCCTTCTATTCTTAAGTTTTGATAGTGCTCCGCATTTGGTGATCTTGAAATTTTTTATAGTGCCATCGTGGTTCAATGTTTTTGTTTGTGATAAAAGCGTAAAATGTTATTGCTCGAAGAAAGAATTTTTGGATTTTTATTTTTTTCCCCCATGAAAAAAAAAAATATATAAAAAATATATGTCGAGATATATGAAAAATATATTTTAAATATATTAAAAATCTATAAAAAATATGTATAGTAAACATATTTTTAATAACTAACTTTTGACGTTAAGATATATCTTAAAATACATAAAAAATACATAGCTAAAAATATTAAAAAATATATTTGAAATATATAAAATATATATGAAAATTGGTCAAAAGTTAGTTATTAAAAATATATTTACTATACATAATTAATATATTTTTTATAGATTTTTAATATATTTTTCATGTATTTCGACATATATTTTTTTTTTTCATGGGAGTTATTATTACTGATTTATTATTTTTTTTTTTTACGAGAAGAAATGTAACAAAATTTTCTTAACCCTCCATCCGTGTAACTTCGATAATACCCGTTAGTTGCTTTGTACTTAGCGCTCCGCTGATATTTATTTTAGAACTCAACTACAGACATGTTTTCAATTGTTTGAAATTTTACAACAAATAAAAATAAGATCTGATTGATATAAATGTTTTTACAACATTTGTACCTGTAATTTTTTTTAATTTTAAATGTGGAATTTTTTTATCATAATTTAGCTATTGTAAAAATCCAAAAAAAAAGGTCTGTTTATTTCAGTTTCATAAAAAAAATCATTTTTTAGGCATTGGAATTATTATTTAAATAATAATGTAACATTTTGGTCATAGTGCAACGGATGAAGGGCTGGTTATGGTAAAGTTATTGATTATTTTTAATTTGAATAAATGATAAAAAAAAAACTTACACTATTAAATAAAAAAAAAAAAAAATAATCAATAACAAATAAAAAAATCCATATTAATTCTTATCTTCTAGCGAAAACAATTTATGCTTACCTCACATGTGGATCTCGTAAACTGGGAGTTTGATATTCGGACGGTAATCGATTTAAAGTATTTTGCAATTCATTATTATGATTATTAATATTATTACTAGTGTTGTTATTATTATTATTTCTATTTAAATTATTATGACCCTGTTGGTTTTGACAGTATGATTGTGGTGGCAGACGGACCATTGTGCTTACTAGTAGCTGTTCGGACGGTATTCTCTGGAGATTTCCGCATTCACCGGTACTATTACCACCACGTGGTTGTTCTATGGACGGCACTCGATTGAGACTACTGTGGTGTGACTCAGCACGCGATATCCCAGAATACTGATGTTCTTCAGACGATACTCTGCTCATCGATGCGCTCGAGTACTGTTGTTCTGCGGACGGTGTTCTTGCCATCAAACAATCATTCATATATTGTTCGCTGCCGGACGGAATTCTACTAGAAGATGACGATGAAGATGATGATGTTATACTCGAGCTATAGTGCTCGTTCATAGGAAGTCTACTTAGTGTTCCGGATGAATACTGATCTACTGAAATGGTACGCGTTAGTGTACCACATGTAGATGATTCATTTGAAGATGGTATCCTGGTCAAGGTCCCCAAATTACTTGCTGAACAGCTTGTCGTCATGCCGGCAAAAGCCACTGAACGTCTCTTTGGATTGTAGCTTGGTGGATCTTTAAGTGGCACTGCAAAATTTTTTAGTTTTTGTAAGGTTAAGTAATCCTCTATTTTACTTAGCCTTACAACTGGGACTCTACAACTGATCAACAAGGCTTAGAAATCATTCTTATTTGTCAACTTTTCAGAGAACTAGAAAAAATCTCTGTCCGATAATTTAAGCTTCTTTTTAGATAAAAATAAATCTTGAAGTTTGAATTTATTGTTATCTTGATTGAATTTTTTCCACTTCAAATTTTAAGATAGTTAACAAGGATTTGAAAAGTTTCCAAATTTTTTTCGCAGATTGTAAAAAAGACTTTATTTGTCGAAGAAGGTGATAGAACTTCACAAGGACTCAATAAGCTCTTACTTTTTTACAGACATATTTATCTGAAAATAAGTTTAAACTTTCATGTTAATTTTTTTAAATTATTGGCAATTTAATCAAGATCTTTCTATGGTATTTTGTTTAAAATTTTATGGTTTAAATAGCTATTTTGTATTTTTCAAACCAAATTTTGATTTAAAAGTTTCTGTGTACATATCTATTAGGGTGCGTTAAAATTTAATCTCTAAAAGCAACCTTTTAAAGTTGAATTTTTGAGTTCCGCCTTTAGCAGGAGTTAGGTTTGGGCATTTCCTGAGATATTTTGATGTGTCAGGATTTATTTGATATTCACATAATTGTTTAACAGGAATTTTGATGAAGCAATTTTTCTGGAATTTAAAAAATTTCAAAATTTGGCCAAACGAAGCTTCTGTTAAAAAATTCTGTGAATATCAAATAAATCGTGACACACCAAAATATATTCGGAAATGCCCAAATACAGCTCCTGTTAAAAGCAAAACTCAAAATTCCAATTTTAAAAGTTTGCTTTCGATTAAATTTTGACGCACCCTAATATTTATATTTATAAAATTCAATTTCATTTAATTAAAATTATTATGATCGTTTATTTTTCGTTTTTCTAAGCCTCGATATTTAGATCAGTTGTTTTTTTTTCTTTTTTAACAATTAGCATCCTCACGCATCATACGCATTATAAGTTACCATCAATAGTTATTACATTTTTTACAATACTCAACAATGGTTAAAGGTTTAAGTTGACTACGCAGACTCCAAAAACCTTTTCAAGTTATATAAGCATTCATATTATTTATTACCATACACACGTACACACACTTACGTGGTAGTGTGTGTAATACAAAATAATTATACGGAATTAAAGTAGGTATTTATTTTTAAGTATAATAATATGTCAGTTATCATTAGCACAATGACAATAATACTTAATTACTTAATTAGTGTTGTTTTTACAAAGCGGTGAAGCACACGCACACCCAGTCACAGTCTTTTACGCGGATTTATATCAACTTATTTTTTCAAGATACATTGCTAGCAATACGGGGGCTATAGTAAGATAACGGGAGGATTTTTATCACCGTTGGTTTTTATTAGTTTACTTAAATACCTTTAACTTGGGATGTTAATATTTACATTTATTTCATTGTGTTATATTCTTATCTAATTCATATAAATTTTTAACTTTATTCAATTTTTTGTGGACAAATTTATTAAATAAAATATAAAATATCAATAGATAGTTGATAAAATATTTTAATTTCAGAAAATAAAATTTAATTCTCAATGTTCTAATAATAACATAACAAAAGTAAAATCTCACACGTTTTCACGATTTGAGGTGTGCAAAATATAAATTAAAAATCTTGATTTACTAATAAAAACTTGAAAGTTAATTTACAAATAATAAAGATTTTCATTTTATATAATTTAAATGAATAAAAATTAGGTAAGAATAAATGACAAATGGTAAATATGCATTAATTTATTACTTGGAACGTAACATTACACTGATAGAAAATTTATGTTGACTCAAGAGATATTTTCTTGATCTAAGAATTTATTTTGGAAGACAAATGATTATTTTGCTTTAAGAATTTCTTGTCTTGATTTAGATTTTCTTGGCTTAAGAGCTCTATTATCTTCAATCGATACATTTAAGTTTTTCAATCAAAATAACATTATCGTTTAAAAAACTTAAAATAATTCATCATCAAAGTATATTTCAAAAACTGAATAGTCTTTAATTTTTATACCAAAAAAAAATTATTTCTTGGAAATAAGTAAATTAATTAATGACTCAAAAAAAAAAAAACCATTCTTAACACAAGTCGGTAACATCTTGAATCAATGTTATCGCCTATCTTGAACTAAGAGACAAAAATTCTTGAAAGAAATATATCTATATCTAGTTTCAAGAGTTCAAGTTTTGAAGAAAAAAAGTTTCTTGAATCAAGATTGTTTTTCTATCAGTGTAGCAATGGAAAAAGTCACTCAAATAAAAGCATTTAATTTATCAAAATAATATACAACAGCGTGACTATATCAACACCTTTTTCCGCATAGCATATATTTAAATAATCTTAATTTGTTATTTTTATTTATTTTCTTACTGTTTCATTCTTTAAAATACCGAAGAAACTCGATACAAGTATCGAGTTGTAACCCAACCATCACCACCAAAAGATTCCACATAGTTACTAGTGTAGCGGCATTTACTTCCTCGTGCTTTTTCACCGAAGATCGATTGATATCGATATCGACCACGATGCAAGCCATGATATTTCTTCCTTACTTTACCCTCCGCGTCTTGGCGTCTCTAACCATTTCTTTAAAGATCACGATACAGGGGAAAGGGGACGACAAAGATACCCTCCAACTCTAACGAACATCTAACGAGTATGCTAAAAGCGTGCACGTGCTCATGCCCAAGCACTCAAATACATGCAACACATATATGTATATATAGATATAAATACAAGTACAGATATATATCTATATATTTACAGATTCACTCAGACGATTGATTCTTGCAAGTTTCCTCAAGTGTGTACGCGTATCTTCAGTATCTCAAGGGAGTCACGTCGTCGTATGTCAAAGTCAGTCTTTTACAGAGCTTCTCACCGAAGATCTTGGTTTAGTGTCCCGGTGAGAATATCCATCAACTTTACTACTATTCGTTTTATTTATTATTCATTTATTTTATACGTTATTTATTCATATATCAATATAAAAAAAACATTTATGTTATTGGTCAGTCGGTTATTGAAGCTACGCTACTATTACATCTTTCATCTACTGGGGATATAGAATTAAAACTAAAGTTAATTTGTAAACATATAAACAATTATTATTTCGTTTATACTCACCGACATCTTCAAGCTGATAAGTCTTGATGACTTCCGCAAGTTCCATGTTACCGGCAATCACCGCAACTTGGTAGGGGGTTTGATTCGCATAATTTAAACTGTCCTTCTGCGCGCCCCTGAAGAGTAACGTACGAATGCAAGATGCATCTGTGTTGTTAACGGCACACACGTGCAACGGTGTATTGCCTGACGCATTTCGTGCGTTCATATCTGCACCGTAGTACAGAAGATGATCCAGGTGTCGAACAAGATTATTTCGGCAAGCCTAAAACAACAATCAAACTTGTAAGTATTTTATTTTTTCTTCTGGGATAATTATTTTTATCCAATTTTATTTTATTTTATTTTTTCTTTTAAGGTAGGGTAGAAGTACCGTTTTTGGCCAGTTAATATTTGAATTAATTTATAAAAAATTATAATACTGTAACCATATTTTTGTTGAGTTTTAAAAAATTTATATTAAAACAACCGCGGCTGCCCAATTTCAAAACACAGTAACTGACAATTTTAAGACTTTTAAAAATTTTTCTTATTAAAAAAAAGTTTGCGCGCCAAATTGATAAAAAATTTGATTTATGAATAGAAAATACTTGAATATAAATATTTTTAAGAAAAAATGCTTGAAATTAAGGTTATAAGAAATGCAGCAATACTAAAAAAAAATCAGGTATAAAAATTTTGCAGTTACTGTGTTTTAAAATTGGGCAGCCGAACTTGAGTTTGTGATGGTTTATTAATATAATTTAATTTCTATCATTTATTTGAACAATAAATGGCCACAAACGGTACTTTTACCCTATAAGTAATAAAAATACAAACATGGTGAATTTCCTGCCATCCCTGAAGATCTTGGGCACCGATTGTCGCGTGATCATGAAGTAACGCGTTACATATCATTTCGTCGGCTTTATAAATAACACTATAATAAAGTGGTGTGAGACCTTTAGTATCTTTGTAATTTGGACTAGCACCGAGTTCTAAAAGAGTTTTTGCAGCTTCTCGGTTGTTTCTTTCAACTGCACGGTGCATCGCTGTAAGACCTTCTTTCGTTCGGTAATCTAACAGTGCTCCACCGTTTACTAGAGCGATTAAAACTTTAGTTGGCTTTTTCAAATTTGTCGCCAGAGTCAAAGGTGTTTCTGTAAGTGTAAATAATTCATTTAATATTTATAATTTATTATGAGTTGGTTTATAAAAATATATAAATTTAAGGAGATCCCCGCAAAGTAGTCAAATTTTGAAAACTTCGTGAAAATTTGTGAATTCAATCTACGTAGCCTAATAATTAATAAAAAAATTAAAAAACAGTAGGTTTCCGGGATATTTAATGGAGTAATTAGGTTTGAAAATTGTAATTTTTACTTGTAGGTAAATGGAGATTCCACCAGCCGTGTATTTGGTAAAGAATTTAACGATTTTAAAAAAATTTTATTTTCATTGAATTTGATTGAAAAAATAATAAGCTTTCGATTAAAACAATAAAAAAGTAGTGCTATATTTTTTATTAGTCAATTAAATGCTAATAATTATTTAATGAGTAAATTTTTCGAAAATTTCCTCAAAAATGTTATTAATTAATTTAAAAATTAATTTTAAGATGCATAACAAAAGTATTTCTACGTGTTATTTATTTATAATAAAATAGTAAAGAATTTTACCTCCAGTTTCAATGTCATGAAAATTTGGATCCAATCCTTTGTTACACATTTTTGAAATTTTCTCAACTTGACTATTTGTTACATACTCAATTAATCTCCGGTAATTTGACCGTGTGTGTAAGGCTTTTAATTGTTTTTCATCCAGATGCAAGGTCTTGTAAACTCGCCGCTTGTATTTGAGCTACAAATCATAAAGATAAATGATGTTAGATAACATTAAGCGGCAATCCTGATAAATTTATTCTGGTAGCTAGTGTAAATATAATAACAATAATAGTAATAATAAAGGGGAGCAATTGGATAGATTTACTTTTGAGTAAGTGAGATTCACAAGGCGTGAGACCATTAACAGAGGTACAGCAACAGTGGCATCTAATAGTTAGTACTATTACTGTATGCCGTAGATCTTGTATCATATGAAGGACAATAGAAGACAATAAAGGAGAAACGATAATAGACGGTAGCACAGCATAGACATAGACAACGGTATAATAACAACTATTTGGCTTATTTCCTACTATGTGCTGTCTAGAATAAGTGAATCTACGATTCATGGTTGTTGTTACATCGTTGCCCTATCGTATCGTTTCACTATCGCTTGTTCACTATCGGATCTCTCTTACTGTTCTAGCTGGAGACTGGAGATACACATTGAATCACCCTTGTGCAACTAGATCTCTGGAGAAGTAAAGGTACTGCACGTTCCACGTTTGTCTGTTTCACGTTTAAAGACCACCGCTTCTTATTCTTGGTGGATTCTACATAACGGTGCGTGAGTAGAGTGCCTTCCATGAAATCGTTTCTCGTACTAACTACTGCTAAAACTTGTTACTTTTCTTTACCTTGTTTCTCTAATATATAATACTCTCCTCTTTGCTAAAGAAATACGAACACCGTACGAGTTTGTAATCCTAACAATCTCATATAAATTTTGAATTTACTCAAATAATCAACATACCTACAGTATCTAGTATCTAGTACTTAGTACCTAGTATCTTCGGAAAACTATATCCTCAATAAGATGATTAGTTTATGGAAATTAATCAAGACATCCTTCGAGATAAAGTAACAGTAAGTTCGAGTACATCCTAACCGGCTTTACTATCACAGATCTAAAAATAACTTACTGTACCGACATTAGACTTTATTTACTCTTTACTCTATATTGGGAATTAATTTGATAAAAAAAATGCAAATCATTATCTAAGTAAACGCAGAGTAAAAATTTGAAAGTTTATAATGTAAATTATTTCTTGTTGATAAAATATGTTGACTGAATCATCTCAATATCGTTATGAGTGATATCGATTTATGGTTATCCAACATCTGAGAACCTCAGGTTAAGAAACTTGATCAAGTGTTTGATTATGTAAAGACCGTGAAGAAACTTCTCAAACTTGTTAATAATTTATCGGATCAACTTACATTTTTAAGTTTTTTTTCTTTTACAAATAAGATAATTAGTTTTACTTTAACTCAAGAAATTGACTATTCACAACTTAAAAAAATTCATTGATTTCCGTTCAATTTTTGGAATTTTAATTTTTATCAAGTGTCGATTTTACAAGTACTTTAATTATACTAAAGCCATTGTTAGATATTAAAATTTTATGACAAGTAAAATTATTAAATTTTTAAACGATGTAAATTATTGTTTTGTTGTATTAAAACCAGTTGGTATTATTTAAAAAATTAAAATATTCTTAAATAGCGTAAAACTTATATGCATATTACTGATGTACTTAGTATTCATATTAATACAATTTATTTTCTTTAAAGAATTTTCATTTTGTCATAAAAGAAGAGACGGGTTTTATTAACTTTAAAATATGTGAATTGAGGATTAAATTTTTTTATATCTTATCGGGATTATGCAAAAATTACGGGCTTCAGTAAACTTTTTTTCTATTTCTGAATAATATCATACTTTTCCATGTGTGTGTTAGATTAAATGTTTTTTTTTTACTTGTATTAAGCAGATGAGAAAATTACTATTTTACCTCTAAGTGGCCGACTGGTCCATTGAAGGGATAATCTCCAAGGCGACGTTCTTCATCCAAGAATTTTCCAGCTTTTCCATTTACAGGAGGACAGAAAAGACCGTAGTTGAAGCTCTCCTTTAATTCCTGTAAGTTTCCGTTTATTTATTATTTACGACTAATTTTATTATTATGTTCGTTTTTAATAATATGTATAAGTAGACTTGCATTCATAATTATTAAAGTTTTTTTCTTTCCATTGACTGGAAAGAACAGTAAATTATAAGTTTGAAAAAAAGTTTATTATCTTAGAAAAATTTTTAAATAAATATTCTAATGTAGATCTGGGCGAAATAAATTTTTAATGCGCTTCGAGCTTCAAATTAGCGAATAATTTTGTAAAGAATTTTCAAATGATGATTTGCATAAATTATTCTAAGCAATATTTCTTTAAAAGTATAAATATTTTCAGTCTATATATTATGTTCTGTTACAAGAGAACTCGTGCAACAGATGATGATTCTTGCCTGCGGCTCAGGCGTGATTCACGCTCGTTCTCCTGTAACTGCAGAACCTATAGGCTCATTCTACAAACACTTTATCCCATAATTTGCCATTTTTTTGACTTGTTCCATAAAGGAATATTATATTATTAGCAGTAATAATATGTCAACTAATCATACCTAGAATTTTTACACCGTCAATATAAACATTAAATTACAAATGATGAGGAGAACTTTTAATTTTATGTTAATAGGGTAGAAGTATCGGTTTTGGCTATCGTAGGACCATTTTTGGCCACTTGATATTTTAGTTAATTTGTAAAAAATTTAACTATTCAATTAGAATTTATGAATTAGTACATTTATACGAATTGAATTCATAAAGTATTACGCTTTATTAAGTGCACGCCTCATAATTTCATTTTTCACAATAAAATTGATTAAAATAAAATATAAAAAGCAAAATAATAAAAATCAGAAAACTCTGCTATGGTTTAGTGGTGCCATAACTCTAAGGTGAGGAAAAAAAATACTATAATAAAATGTATAGATAGGTATACAAAAAAATCCACAATTATATATTAGTTTTTTATAAATAATTTAAATTTTGAGTTTCGCTTTTAACAGGAGCTGTATTTGGGCATTTCTTGTTATATTTTGGTATGTCACAATTTATTTGATACTCACAAAATTTTTTAACAGGAGTTTCGTTTGGCCAAATTTTGAAATTTTTAAATTCCAGAAAAATTGCTTGAACAAAACTCCTGTTAAAAAATTATATGAGCATCAAATAAATTCTGACACATTAAAATATCTCAGAAAATGTTCAAACATAACTCCTGCTAAAAGCGGAACTCAAAATTCCAATTTTAAAAGGTTGCTTTTAGAGATTAAATTTTAACGCACCCTAATACAGACATCCGGAAAAGATTATGTTTAATAATTAAATGAGTTTGTTTTATCACCAATGCGATCAATATTTTTTGACTAGTTTTTAAACTAATTCAAGTCGAGATGGAGCATTCCATCTTCGCTAAAAATCGAGACGGGATTGTCTCTTGTTGTTAGGTCGATGGACTCCATCAAACAAGAATACTAGTAAGCTGGAAGTTGTTAGTATCTGTTCGAGGTATAAAGATGTTAATAAACGAAAATCGTCTGAGAGCGAAAGCAACTTTGAAAAAATTGGTTGAGAAAATTGGTTTATTATGTTTAATGTTATTATTTACTATGTTAAACAAAAAAATTGTTATTGAAATATATTCTATGTGCCTGACAAATTATTTGACTTGATATAAGTGTACTCATAACCTGTAAGTGCGATATAAATAACAAAAAATCAATTTCAGTTTCGAGAAAACTTCTTTTTTTGAAATGAGAGCACAACCTCAACGCTTCGCTTATAAGGCGTGCAATAAAGTGGCCAAAAAAGGTACACTGGTCACAAACGGTACTTCTAACCTATTTATCAGTTTTCTATGAAAGTTAAAATTAAGAGTGTATAGTATCTTGGATATTGATATCAAAGATGTGATATAATATCGAAGTATGAGTATCAGAGACCAGTTGAGTGTGTCTGATCGTAATAGACTTGCATTGGAGCCTTGAACGGGATTCAATCGAGAGTAAAAGACGACTTGCTCTACGTCAAAGGAGTATAAGTAGAGTGTAGAGTGCAGATATATAGTTCTATACTCTGCAGTGCAAAGTTAAAGGCCTTGTCTGAGTACTAGATGTGTATTATATACAAACGTGAATGCGTCGCACGTGCTAAGTCAAACGGACTTGTATTATCATCGCCGGTAAGAGAAAAGAAGAAATAGTCGTCTGGATGTAATGGGGGAGGTAAAAATATAAGTACAGACAGAGATGTCCATTAAATAAGTATAAATTACCGATTATTTTTAAAATCAATTATAATAAATTTTCAGTGAATTGAATTTTTTAATCTTCAGAATAAAACGAATTGATTATTTAATAAAAATAATGCTTTTGTACGGATATATTTCACATGTGGGAAGTAATGTGTGATCGCTGATGCGTAGTCGATAGTCACGAAGCCAAATAAAAGTACAAACTAAAGTGCAAATAACGGAAAAACGATATGCGTTGCTGATGGGCTTCATTGTAATTCATAGCCGTTAAATTTGTAGATTCTTTAATTAATAAATTGCAATGCTAGTGACCGAAAGGTACCCCGGCAGACTTAAGGACACGTGCCTTCTGGCTCGAGTCAAAGGAAGGTTATAAGTATAATAATTTTCCACCTTTCTGATCACGGAAATTCTTCAGACGTTTATTATATTATATTTATTACTCGAGAAGTATTCTTCATACAGTTTAAAACGTCAAAGTTAAATCAGTAGTATCGATTTTATGTAATTATATACATTGAATTTGACATCGGTAACAACCATTTCTTTTTTGTTTTAATTGTTACCGAATATTGCACATAATGAGATGAGTGCTGCTTAATATTTTGATAAGAAAATTTATAACAAAATAATTATCATCGGATTTCAATAATTATTTTCAGTAAAAGAAGCAAAAATTTATTTGATTTTTTACAATTTCGTTTAAATTTATGCGTAATTTTTTTTTTTTTTTAATAATTATGCACTCTGTTTTACTTATACTCATATTTTCTGTGAGTATTTAACTTCTAGGTGTATCCTTAGTCGGTCATTTGAAGTTTTAATTATAAATACATTTTATAAGTGTTCTATTGAAGAAAATATGATTGTCTGACGCAAGCATTTTTGAATTTACAATAATTTTTTTATCAGAAAAATTGATATAGAAGATCGACTACTATATGAATAAAATTAATTACATTAATAAAAGTATTATAATTATTAATAACGCTTAAATTATCACGAGAGCGTTCGACGCGTGGACTTATAGATTTAATTTTGTTTTTGTCGTGATATAATATTCAAGATGAAAAGTAAAATTTATATTTTCGCAGAATAAAAATTCAAGATCAGAGTATAAAATATAAATAACTCTTCGTGTAAATGTTTATTATTCATCAACTCTATACGTTGGTAAATAACTTAAGATGAGCGCTTTAGCTCGTCGCTAAACCTACAATTAAAGTTATTAACTATTCCATAGTTGAAAAAAAAAAAAAAAATAATCGTCGCTTATAAGCGTGACAACATTTTTTTATTTTTTTTGCATGGTTATTATGTCTCTTATAAATTATTTATATGTTAAAATATATATTACAGAGTTAAAGATTAAGATTTATGATTTAGTATTAGATATAATAATGATGTTTATAACTTTTTTTAGGATATGAAATTATAAAGTTGTTAAAAAATTTACTTCAGAGGGCTTTCTATGTAATTTTCTTTGATCATTGGATTTTTTAGCACATCCATAGAACCCGGAAATTGTAATTAAATGTAAATACATATATATGGCATATTGACTCTCTACAGAGAGACCTTTAGGGTTTAGGGAAAGGGGTATACTTGATTAATTATTGCCGTTTTGATCCTTTCTATTGATCTTTATCAAACGAAAAACTTACACCTCGCTGGCTCAGTTGATTTATTGTAATTTGTATATGTATAGTTTTACTTCACAAATTAAACTCAATGATAAAGTAAAAAATCAACACAAAGTCTATTCAATTAAATAAAAAACAAATTGGTGGTTACTGGTAACATACAAAAAAGTTGCTGTTGGTAATTAATACTGGGAAAAAATAACCACTCATGCGTGAAGAGTTATTAATTTTTAGAGACTTTGAATCTGCAAAATATTTTAAATAAATATGCACGAGAGGTCGGCTGAATGTGAGAATAAATTGCAAGCGCAATATTTTATCACAGTTATTATTGTTTCGCACGATTGTGACTTTAATAAAATATATATATAAATATAAATCAATAAAAATAACAAACAATATTGAATATTAAAAAGTCAATTGTTTTATCAGAATTTTTAAATGAATAAAATACACCTATGAGATAAATATCAATGATTGGTTACATTTTCATTAAAAAATAATTAAACTTTAATCCCTTAACATACATTGTAGATTACAAACGTTATTTAATCATGATAAATATCACCTTTGACACCAATTTTATAATTTAAAACTACATGGGTAATTAAATTTGATACATGATAACAAAGTTTATTGCCGGTAAAATTAAATGTACAATTTAAAAAAAATCTTGATTACTCAATTGATTCATAAAATTATATTTTATACATAAATGAATTTAAAAGTAATTGATCTGTATATATATATATATTATTTTCACTCTTTAACTGTATGCTCTTGATTTATATTATGTAAATATCTTTTCTTTTGTTACTCTTTTCATCCAGCAGTGTTTTACATTTTTTAGTCTCGTTTTTTTTTTATTTTTTATTTTATCGGTCTTATTTACGATGATCATGTCGATAAAAATACATACGCACATGTAAGAAGACGTGGATTGAAAGCAAAATTTATCTGTACTTAATTTTGAAAGAGAAAGTCTCGAAAGTTTGCGAATTAAATTTTCCTCTGAACAATGTGTCATAAATTTTGTTTATCATTGATTAACGGCCATTTTAAAATAATTCCGTAAGAAATAAAATAGAGGTAAATATTCTCAATCATAAATATGTTTACTGATAATGATAAAACAATTTAACAATTGTGAAAAATTTTGAGATTTTAGAAATTTTTCTTCATTGATCTACTATACAATATGGTGAAAAAGAAACTGAATGTAAAATTTTTTGGTAATTTTGTATTTTTACATGCAACTTTTTTTTATCGTACAATTCAAGTGCAATTTTTTTTGAATGTATAAATAGAAAATGTTTTTTGTAATTGTCTTCGAAGATATTCCGATGTAATAAATATATAAAATGATAACGATCGGAACTAACTGAAACCTCTCGGCTACACTGTAATAAATATTGTATATATCAAGTAAGCATTATTATAATTAGGTTTTATTAATTATTAATATTATAATTATTATTAACTATCATTTAATCAACTAGTAATAAGCTGATTCGTCCTTATTAATAATCCTTTATATATTGCCTTTGCGACAAAAGATTAAAAAATTCGTTTATAAGACAAATAAATTCACTGTGCATAGAAACTCATTGTATTAAATCATAAAGGAGTTTTCAAATTTGAAATTAAAAAAAAAAAAAAAAAAACATTCAACACAAATAAAAAATAACTTTGTTTTTTTACGCTTGGACCAAAACATTTAGTCTCATACATCACCAAAATTAAAACGCAATTATAGTGTATGATGTGATTGAAGTTATTTTTGCTCATTCAAATATTCATATGTTACTATTATTATTATTATTCTAATTATTTTAATAACTATGCAACTGCAAAAAATATAATAACATTCCTGCCAAAAGTAATATATAATAAAATTTATTAAAAAGTTGATATTTAAACATCGCGTATGACCGTGTGTAAAAATAAATAATAAAAAAAAACCCCCGTTGAAGCTGACATTTTATATTATTTAAATTACATTGTAACTTATATATTCAAAATACATATTTTAAATATTTACATATAATTATAAATATATTAATTGGCTGATAAATAACACAATTTATAAGTACTGCTTTTATTATTTGATAAAATTTAATATATATTATAAAATGTTTAACAAATATAAAATGATTGAACAATTGAAATAAATATCAATTGATAATCAAATAATGTCCATTAAATTAAATGAAAAAAAGAAATAAATTTGTTATTTAATTAAATAGATAAATTAATTATTTGTTAACATAAATAAATAATTTTAATAAATATGATCAGTGGATACGGGATATTTGGAGGTGATGAATTATTGGCAAATTCTTGTTCGTCATCGCTACCCATAAAAGTTAAATTAAAACGCAATTGTAATGTATGATGTGATTGAAGTTATTTTTTTTTCATCCAAATATTTATATGTTATTAATTTTATTATTATTATTATTATTATTATTATTATTATTATTCAATTTTTTAACGTAAGTGAGAGTATAACTTAATTTATATATTATATACGGCTAGTAAAAAATTGACGTTTGATACGTCTAGCTATGGCGCATAACACTTTCTGACGATCATGTATGGCAGAATAATGACCGAAACGTGTCTCAATCAGAACTTTATGGGGTGTAATTGCGGCTTTGAAAATAATAAGAAGAATAAAGCGATAATATAATGGTTATATATAGCACAGCATCACTTGTGATTTTATAATTTTAAGGCAAGTGTTCTTTAACTTTAAATGTACAATATAAAGTCGACTTCATAAATTAAACAGACAGTTATTAATATGCACAGTCAATTTATTGCCTACAATTACTTAATGTATTAATCAACTTGATAAATTTATAAAAACAAATATTTTATCAAAAAATTATCCGCAAAAGACACCGACAGAAATAATTCGTATTACTAATTTTACTATCTAAAAAAGCAATAAATGTTTTTTCAACTAAAGTTTAATGAAAATATTTTTCATATTTCCTGTTGCTGATCGATAAGAATAATTTTATTTACAGTATATGCGTTAAGTAAGAAACGTCATAGTAAACAACATAGTAAATGAGAGCTAATCAGCGTAAGTCAGTCATGTTGGACATAGAGGATGGAGAGGATCTCGCTCGTTTTCTCAGTAATTTTGATCACCGGATCAACGATTAGTTCTGTCTAGAAGTTTCTTGATCCTTTCTTCAAGTATCCCTACATGCTGTGTAATCGTTTAAATAATGATCATAATAATAAAAAATACAAGTGAATGAATGTGCTAGTATACTGCATATATAGGAACGTAACCACATAAGTGCAAAGCAAACACATACAGATATACAATGCAGAGAGAGTCAACAAGTAGTCGATTGGCTTCTCTGGTTCTTCTCTAATCTAAAATATATGCTTGCACTTGGACTTAATAATGCAAATTGAAGACTACAAAATTTACAGAAGGCAGTGCTCAATGCAGTAGCTCAACATTACAATCTGTTTAAAGTGAGACTTTGAGATTATACGTTTACTACCTTGATATTTCAGTTCATTTATGTTTCTCATACATATGTGTTAGTATGTATACCTTATTCACATGTACATATTATATATAAGTGAGTTTAATATTAAACACGACAAGTATGCAGATAAGTTAACTACTTGGACCTTTGCGATTCAAGTTTCTTGCTATATAACTTAGGTCACATGATAATGACCTTATTACGAGAATTATGGGTGTAACAGCCAGGATATTATTTCTACTGACGTGGAAAATAGCGTGATCTTGGTGTAACTTGCTATTATTTATATTTTTTTATTCACAATTGATCGCCGTATTTTATTTCACCTGTCATATCATTTTATTTATAAAAGTATCGAATATCTTTTGTACACGGAAAGAAAATTGCGCTTAAAATTACGATATTAAGGAAGTACGAGCACCAAGGCAACTTTTGATAAAAAGCTTGATTTTTTTTTAATATGAAGTTTAAATATGTCTAAACAATTTCCGAAAATTTGAAGGAGATTGCCCGATTATTTAAATAAATAATTAACTTTGAAGTTGAGCAATTTAACATTGATACATTTTTGTATTTTTCTCGTAAAACTGTCGGTGAATATAGTTTTAAAAAACTTATGGATGAAAGTAAATATATTAGTGATAAATTTAATTCAAAACAATTTACACTTGCCCGACTAATTAAAGTGTATTAATTAAAAGAAAAATAAAAAGAAAAAAAATAAATTTATTTTATTCGAAAAAATATTTTCTTCAAAATTTTGCTCTTGTTTCAAGGTATTTACACTGAAAAAAAAAATTCTTGACTGGAGGGTAAATTTTCTTGGCTTAAGAAAATATTAAGAAAGATTGAAAATTTCTTGAATGAAGTCAAAGTTTTTTGAGCCAAGAAAATTTCTTCTTACTCCAAAATAACTTTTGTCTTCCTTAAAATTTTTTTGATGCAAGAAATTTTTTTTTCTGTGCTATTGTTGTAATTAAAAAAATAAACTTTCGAATGAGTCAAAAATTATACTTCGTTAATATTAATTTCGTAATTTTTTAATTTTTTATCAACCAACATTATAAAAAACAAAACTAACTTACAAAATAAATAATAATAATACAATGAAAAAAATAAAAAATATATGGCAAGTTAAATAAATGAATATTGTTAAAGTTTTCGATGCTTCATCATGTAACAAAGAATTTTCAGGAACATGTGATTACCTACACGGCGAGCGGACAAGAGAAAAGAATCCAAGTTTAACGGCCGAAGGGACTGTACAGAAAATTGGCGAGTAATTTATAAAGATTAGGCCCAGGCTCGATTGTATCGAAAACATGCGCCGTTTAAGATGAGATGTAACAACACGAAAATATAAAATAAATAACTAAAATTGAGAG